TCTCTCTCTCTCTCTCTGTGTGGATCGAATGTGCCTTTGCATTTCTGCGCAGAGTTGAAGATTGGATATTCACACACAACACACACACACACACACACACACACACACACCCCTCGCCTCGAGCTTTCGGCCACATTAGCTTTCGCCGAATTCCATATTTGTGGAAAAGATCCACGTCATTCAAAAAGATTGTTAAAAAAGAATGGATATTCAACAAGATTGTTCAAAAATATTCGAATATTGGATATTCAAAAAGATTGTTAAAAAAAATTCGAAGATTGGATATTCAAAAAGATTGTTCAAAAACATTGGATATTAAAAAAGATTGGATATTCAAAAAGATTGTTCAAAAAGATTCGAAGATTAGAAATTCAAAAAGATTGTTAAAAAAGATCCGAAAATTGGATATTCAAAAAGATTGATAAAAAATATTGGAAGATTGGATATTCAAAAAGATTGTTCAAAATGATTGGATATTCAAAAAGATTGTTAAAAAATATTCGAAGATTAGCTTTTGGCGAACAGCACATGCCAAGCTCTAATGAGCGTTTACCGAACAGCAGATTCGATCGGAGAAGTGTAGTTTTTTTTTTCCCTTTTCCCTGTGGTGAAGAGGATGAATCGACGAGCCACAGGAGGAGGAAGGGGGAGGGAGAGGAGTGTACGATGGGAGGGAGAGTAGTCCACCACGCAGGAGGAGGGGAAAAGGGAGAGGAGTCGAGGATGGAGGAAGAGGAGAGAAGCATCGATAGGGAGCAGAAGGAGAGAGAAGTATAGCTCTTTTTTCCTTTTTCCCTGTGTTGAAGAGGATGAATCGACGGGCCACAGGAGGAGGAAGGGGGAGGGACAGGAGTGCACGATGGGAGGGAGAGTAGTCCACCACGCAGGAGGAGGGGAAAGGGGGAGGAGTCGAGGATGGAGGAAGAGGAGAGAAGCATCGATGGGAAGCATCAATGCCGAGATGGAAAAAGGGAGCCTGGCGTGGAATAAAAGCATTCACGATCTGATCGACCTGCTTCCAAATCGAAGACGCGTAGGCACACTCCAATCCAATCCAATCCAATCCAATCCAATCCTATCCAATCCAATCCTATCCATTCCAATCCAATCTATATGTCGCCAAAAAATATGGAACGCAAAAAAACGTCATGCAACCCTCACACACACACACACACACACACACACACACACACACACACACACACTCACACACACAGACACACACACACACACACACACACACACACACACATAGGAACGACACCCACAGGAACGAGCTTTCGGTCGTGGTAGTTTTCGGCGAACAACACATGCGAAATCGTAATGGGTGTTTGCCGAACACCATATTCGATCGGAGAAGTATGGCTCTTTTTTCCCTTTTCCCTGTGGCGAAGAGGATGAATCGACGAGCCACAGGAGGAGGAAGGGGGAGGGAGAGGAGGGAACAATGGGAGGGAGAGTAGTCCACCACGCACGAGGACGAAGGGGGAGGGAGAGGAGTGAATGATGGGAGGGAGAGTAGTCGAGCACGAAGGAGGACGGGAAAAGGGAGAGGAGTCGAGGATGGAGGAAGAGGAGAGAAGCATGTGCGATCTGATCGACCTACTTCCAAATCAAAGACGCATAGGCACACTCCAATCCAATCCATTCAATCGATGGCCGAAAAATATGGAACGCAAAAAAACGTCATGCAACCCAATCGTCATTCAAAAAGATTGTTAAAAAATATTGGATATTCAAAAAGATTGTTCAAAAACATTCGAAGATTGGATATTCAAAACGATCCTTCAAAAAGAATCGATCATTGTTCAAAAAGATCGAATATTTGAAGAGTGTTCAAAAAGATTGGATATTCGAAATGCAACCCAAACGGTGGACAGACATTGAAAAAGGCCATCGAAAAACGACCAGCGTAAGTCGCAGTGCACAACAATATCAAAAAAAGGGCATATGTATCTGCCTCTAAGGCGATGTTCCACTTTACCGCAAAAAAGGCGGCCCGCACCTTCTCTCTCTCTCTCTCTCTCTCTCTCTCTCTCTCTCTCTCTCTCTCTCTCTCTCTCTCTCTCTCTCTCTCTCTCTCATCGGAGAGACTAATGCAAAGCAGGCGGTGGAGGGAATTTGTCAGGAATGACAAACGACTGCATCTCCTTGTCCCACTCATCCCAGAACGAAGCGGGGTATTGCAGGATCTCGTTCGTCATTTCTAGGCGCACCATCTCCCCCTCCAATTGCTTTAGATGGAACACCATATCATCGCACGACTTGCACCTCGACCCCTGTGCACTGCAACCGCTGGACCCACCTTCTACACGGTCGTCGTCGCACACTGCTTTCCCCTTCGCCGCAATGGACAGATTTTGCATTTCTGCGCACACTTCCTGCTCCCCGTCAACCACTTCACCTCCCCCACGTGTGACTTCTTCGACGAATCGCCATGCCGTGTCTACTTGCTGTTGGGCGATGCGCACATCAGCTTCCGCAGCCTCCAACTTCCGCAAAGTGTCATCTCTTTCATGCATGGCAGCATCCCTGTCACACATGGCAGCATCCCTTTGCCTAAGTGCCTCCCGCTCGGCCGCTGATGCGTTCTCTTGCACCGCTCGGCTCTCCTCAACTGACCTCCTCAACAGCTCCAACTTGCGGCTCATACGCATGCGGTGGACAACTAGGTTGTCGCAGCATTGCACAAGGCTCGACCGTGAAGCGGAGAGCCGTTTCACAACAGAGCTCGACCATCTGCGTGCGTGGATGTTCTCTTGTGAGATGTCTGTCTCGCACACCTCTCTCCCGCACCGCATCCACACTGTAATGTTATCACCCCTGGCCACGAGGAACTTGTGCAGCAACTCCACCTCTCGCTCCGTCTTCTCCAAATCTCGGACCAATGCATGCCTCTCCCACACATAGTCTCGGCGCGCATCCTTCCTCGCCATCATGCCAACTCTCCGAACTGCAACTCTCCGCTCGGCAAAAGCAAGCAGCACCAAAACCCGGTACTAGACCGTCATGTAATATAAGTGGGGGAACTGCAACTGTGGTGTCACTCTCGCAGTCCAAAAAGTCGCACGACCTCGGTGCACAGTGCGTCTCTCATGGCCTGGCCGCGGTCCCTGCCGGACATGCTCTAAAGTGGTGTGTTGTCGCCTCGCCTATCCACCGGCGGCGGGGGGAAATCCGGGGAAGACGCATCTGACGCCTCACCGTCGTCTTGGGGTTGGTCGCCCAACTCCTGAAGCAGATTGTGCAATACACAACACGCCTCGAACTCTAACCCCTCTGTCTCGATGTTAGCAGCATGCGGAACGTAAAAGAACTGGAAAAGCATCTTAAAAACGCCAAAAAAACGCTCCACCGCCGACCTCACAATTTTGTGGAGGGAATCAAATAACTGCATATCCGCTGTGGCGTTCCCCCCTATGCCGTACGGCACCACCAGCCACGAGAGACTGGGATAACCTTGATCACCCAACAAGTAACCCCCGGGCACACCGGGTATGACGCGCCGCTCTCGGCGGAAAGGGTCGTCATCCGTATCCAAGAACAACATCCCCTTCAATGCTCTGCGGTACAAGGAAGAGTGCTTTTGCACACGCCCATCGCCAACGGTTTCGGGCAATCCATGGCAAAAATCAAGGATCTTCAAGTTATGGTCGACGACCAGTTGCGCGACCACGGAGAATCGATTGTTCCTCCCGGAACAGTACTCATCCCATCTCTTGTCTTCGGTTTGTCGACGTACACGTGTGTGCAGTCAATACACCCCCAACAGTTAGGGAATCCCAGTCTCTTGAACTCCTGCATGTGAGCATGGCATTCAGCATGCCCCCCAAAACCCACTGCATTCGGGTACGAATCGATGATCGCCTGCGCGACCTTGCGGACGGCGCGCAGACCGCTTGTTTTCCCCAAGCCGTAAGCGGAACAGCTGTGCCAATGGTGATCACCGTGGGCCCACCTGTGGATGGCATATGTCAATTCTTGTGCAGGCGGCAATGGCACATGGAACCTTGTGACCTACTTCTCTAGAAGCGGACTGACCTTCCGCAGCAACCTGTTGAATGTCGAACGAAGCATACGAATGAGAGAAACGTAATGGTCATTCTCTGCGTCGTCTTCGGGAAGCAGGTCCTTCCAAAGCCCGCCACTTCGACGCATCACCCACCACCTTGGCGAGGCTCTGGGCATGAGATTGAGCATGTCCACAATGGCAGGCCAAAGCCACATGAGACTGTGCTTGTCGGGCCTGCCATCATCCTCATCGTCATGGGCCCCACCAAGCAACGCGTGAGATGCAGGGACTGAAGCAAGCAAATCGGTCGTTGAATGACCAAGGATGAMATCCACCATGGCCATGGCGTCTTCTGCCATGCGGCCTGCTATGGCCATGGCGGCCACAGCCACTCTCTCCCATTCTCTCCTCTTCAGCCTCGGCATTGCTACACGGCATACACGCATAGTTTAAAACTTCAAATGCAGTTGAGGATGCTTTTTTTTTTTTTTTGGCTCGTGTGGCCAGCAAGAAAACAAGCACCCCCCCACACTGACCAACCCCCCCCCTCCCCCTCCCCCCCTCCTTTGCACTGCCTACCCCGCACCCCAGGGAAAATAACTAACTAAACCCAAGGGAGGCACCCCAATAGTTGTAACTAACCTAACCCAACATGTGTGCTAGCGAGGAGCACACATGTGACAAAGCATACATGCGTCAATCCGCTGCACGTTGGATGGGCCCCAAGACTTGCCCAACCGCCAGCCCAACGTCTGAATCCCTCGTCAGCCCAACCGGAGCTATACAGCCATGTTCCTTGACTGAGGAAGGCCAACATCCCGAAATGGAAACCGTGTGTTTTCACTTCTGCCCAAGTCCCTCTCGGGAAGGAGGGAGGCAGGTTCATGAATATAGTCGCACGTGGGGTCCAGGTCGATGGACACACACTGAATTCAGCAAACAGGGGACGGACGTACGAGGTGGCGAAGCACTCATACCTGACACGAATTTTCAGGGACCACGCTGTGGATCCAGGGTGACGGCATACAGACCGCTGTTAAAAAAAAAAAAAAACAATGTCATTCTCGGATGTTTATAAATCCGAGAAACCATTATAAAGCAATAAAAAAAGGTCGAAAATGCGTCACACATCGTAAAAGACTTGGCTAGTGGGTCCAAGCCCCAGGGAAAAAAATATTCCCGCACCCGCTGAAACCGCTCTCAAGCGCTTTTGAGCGCGGGATTGAAAGGCGCTCAAAAATTTGAGCTCCGACCCCACACTCAATCAGCGCGCGGTAACACAGGGGATTTTTCGGAATGCCCCTCCAACGTCTATTTATTTGCAGTATGCCCCTCCAACGACCGACTTACCCTGTCCTGCCCCTCTGAAACAATTGAAGTTTCCCAAAAATCCCTGGCATTGTTTGGGCCTGAAATATGTTCAATATGCCCCTACGGGTACTGGTTCCAAATTTCCAGTATGCCCCGGTAGCTCTCCTCCGTTCCGGGTTTATGGGCATTTGTGGTGCTTTGGATTTGAACCGGTAACCGATTTTCGGGGGTAGTTGTAACTAACTGAAGTTCGATCTGTTGACCTTGTCCTAGCAGATGTACAAGTTAGTAATCCTTGGTTCTGTAGTACCTTACACTAGACGACCTTTTTGCAGCTACTTGGGCTTGAACACCGAATCATTAGGGTGGCTGCACCTAGTCTAAGACTAGTTTTTTGGTAGTGCTACTGTAGGTCTTCGAACCGGTGACCTTACGTACGAGTTGGAGTCTGGCTTACCTTTGCTTTGTAGTTCTTTGGATTTGAACCGGTAACCTGTCTTCGGGGGAAGGTGTGACTAACTGGAGTTTGGTTTGTTGACCTTTTCTCAGTAAGCATACGAGTTATCATTCGTTGGTTTTGGAGCACCTTACGGTAGAAGCGTCTAGATACTTGCTTAGGCCTTGCAATACCTTTTGAGGTTGACACTTATCTGTTTTTCTTTTGATTCGGCCTCTAGGGCCCTCGAGAAGTGTCGTCTGGTTTCTTTTACTTTGTATAACTAACATAGGTACGACAATTTTCTCATCTTGGGCTAGGTAGCAAGACCCCTGATGACGTTGGACAGGCGACCGGCAGAAACACGGTGTTGGGCTATGTGACACCCGTGACCTAGGCCGCGGGCATTTCGGCCACAACGGCTGAAAAAGTCGGCCGCGGCCGTGGCCCATGAGGCCCAGTCCGCGACCTGGTTTTTTAATAATTTGTTTTTACCCCTAAAAATACGTTAATATATATATATATATACATGGTTACCAGCCCGTACGTACAGAGGTCCTCGGGCAGACCTCCGTACGTACGGGCGTTCGGGGTTCCGTACGGGGTCCGAACCCTCAGGTCACTGTGATGCTACGGTTTCCTTTCCAATTTTGAATTTCCGCTATTATTATTATTATTATTATTATTATTATTATTATTATTATTACTTAATTTTCCTAATTTCAGTTTCCCCCCTGTCGTTCCGTCACTTCGTAGGGAGGCCAGCTGCTTGGGTTTCGAGTTCAAGCGGTGGTATTGCGGCCTAGGCAGGCCTAAACCTTAGAATATCTCCGCGCGGTAGGACCTAGCTATATTGGAGGCTAGATACAGCGGGATCGGCGAGGACTTGTACCGCTGTTCAGGCGGAGCTGCGGCGTGAAGGAGATTTGAATCACCACCCTTTTCTTTTCTGTTATTGTTATTATTATTATTATTATTAGTTATTGTTATTATTATTATTATTATTATTATTATTATTATTACTATTATTATTACTATTATTATTTTTATTATTATTATTATTACCTTACCAGCTCTTGGACGTGGCTTTCCTTTTCATCATCGATCACTTCGCGGGAAAGCCAACGGTTCAAATGTCTGGCTGTGGTCCACGACCTAAGTTGGTCGGCCCCAGGCGTCCCGTCTTTGGACGGGCTCAGATTGAGCGTCGCGCGTTGAAGCCCCAAAAGAAGGCCGACCCGCGGCCGCTTCGGTAGGAGGCTTATCACCCCCTTCTTGGAGGGTCATAAGCCCCCTCCTTGCCATCGGACACGGGTACCCGATGGGAGTAGGCAGAAGCTGTATTTTAAAAGGGGAAATGCGATCGTCGGTTTCCTGTGATGGGACCACAGTGCCGAACCTGTTGCCATATCGCTAGGATCTGGGACTGTCAAGAGCGAGGCTAGTTCATGATCGACGGTTGGGGTTTAGGCATGTGTGTTATTCACAAAAAATTACTCGGTTTTAATTTATTGCCTTATTTTAAAAACTTTAAAATTCTTGAAATCCGGTAAGGTCTGGAAAGGACTAATCCGAGTCCTTCGTTCAGAACGCACGGGACAGGCCTATAAGAGGAAGAGGGAGTTGAGATATCATCCGCGGCCAGACGCCTAGTGGTACACAGGTTGTACTGTGATCTCTGGTAGAAGAGTAGCACGCTATTGGAAGTGGACGGTTTGTGCGGCGGTCTACCGGATGAGGGCTGGCTGGCTATTCCAAGTGGCTATGGTGTTGCACGACTATAGGCCTGGTTACTGGTATCACCAGGCCCGGTGGAAACCCATGTCTAGGGAGGGGCCCTGGATCACTGTCATGCTCAACTACGATGGGGGTGATGAGGTGAGGATGGAGATTAATGTGGAAGGGGCTAAAGAGGTGGAGATGAGGACTGATGGAAAGTTGTAGGATGCGATCACGGAGGCGAAAGACCGTGCAGAGAGGCGCTGCAGGAGAGACGGAGTGACTGCAAGGTTGCAGGTAACGGTTGCGTATCATGAGACCGGGACCTCAATGGACACAGCGGACCTGGAACAAGCCCACGTGGACAGGGACTCAAATCGGGAGAGCGAAATGAGTGAGGCAGGGGATCGGGAAACGGAACTCAGATCCTTGAATAGACCAGGCGAGATCCAGAGGCACCACCGAGCTGTGAAGTTGGTGGAAGAGGGACCCGAGGCCAGCTCTCGACAGCTRACGCCCAGAGGCCGYGGGACRGGTGRGAGGCAGATCAGGGGGAAAAKACAGGTMTGAGAAAAYAYGCGGGCGAGAGTGTGAACGGGACTKAACCCGAAACRGGGAGGCTGRRGCAASTGTAGTGGCACGSGCACACGCGCGACAGGTGGCAATCGGAGAGCAAAGGGAAGTCAACGAAGGGAGAGGACTACGAGGACGAGCGGGACACGATCGGGCGAGATGCAGTTGATGTCAACCACGGTCTCTCGGTTCAATCGCGATCGTTCTTAGTCTGCTGAGTCGCAGTGAGTCTTCATGCTGAGACAGGAGACACGTGCGTGAGAAGGAAGGCAGGCCAGAGACCAACGAGGACTGGACCATCGAGGGTAGAGTAGCAGAATGCGGTCTGGCCCCGGGCAGACAATGCGCGTATGTGGGTTACACGTGTGCGGCCTGGCGTGGGTAGAGGCCGTCAACGAAAAGGGGGGACGGTATGGGCGAAAACTTAGATGAGCTTGTGGAATGTGACGGATGTCAACCGAGGTTCGCGCGCTGACACGACGTTTCTGCTCATACCGCAGTGACGGAAAAGACAAGAGAGAGGGATTCTGCCAGAATAACGGTAGTAGTGGCCATCAGAAGAGGGGTTGCTTATGCAAGGCATGGTCGAGGTCATCACGACATCTGCTTATTGTGCACCAGCTACGACCCCTCCGCCATCTTGGACACAGAACGACCGCCCTTCGCTTGTTGTGTGGACTGCAGTCGCTAGCTGGCCAGTATGTAATTGATGAAAGGCCGAGTCGTTTCCAGCGCAGGTAATGGTATCAATAGTCTAGTTGGAGTTGACGTCAACCACTCAAGTGTACTCCATGTGGCTAGATGCTTGGAGAGAGATGCTTTTCGCCGGAGAATGAGGAAGGTAGCTATCTGGGAGCGAGATATGTCGCTAGGGACACGCGAGTGAGATGCTTCTTTGAGGCCAGGTTGACGCACAACATTTGTGTTCTCTCATACTACTCATGTTCTTGCGGCTTGATCATTACGATGCACATCGACKCACGCTAGTTATACTTGTGAACTGTCAAGAAAAGAGAGGGAGGGGGTCATACAGTGTAATCCGAGTGTTTGCTGGCAAGAAGTGTACTTACCTCTCATACGATGAGCTCTGTGAACGATCACGGTGTGTTATTCTTGATGGGATTTCATCTGTGTGAGCTAATGGTAGGAAGGGAGTGAGCGTCTAAAGTACTCAGCATTGACGATTCAAAGTACGAGGGTTGTTCTTGACAGGGAATGGGTGGAGACGGTTAAGAGGCTGTACGTATGGCCATTGGTGAGAGAGAAGTCGTCAAGTGAGGTTGGAATGGGTTGTAGAAGTCAGTGAGAAATGGGAGTAAGACGTATGGCAGACTCCGATCTTCGTTTAACGCTCAATGGTTAAGATTAGACAGCGCCATATGAGC